GTAGGACAGAGTAGAACTGCCCCGCAGGGTTTCCAAGGCCGTAATCTTTACGGAAGCAGACTGTCACATCTTTCTTCTGCGGAGCAGCTGGCGGGTTCAAACCACCGACCTTTCAGTTAGCAGTTGAGTGCTTTAACTACTGTGCCACCAGGGCCCCTTTCCTATTTCCTAGAAGGCCCCAAAACAGTGCTTCTTCTTCTTTTTTTAAGCCTTTTATATTGTTTTATATAATTTGAATATCCTACTATTCAGCTTTAACCCACACATGCCTGGGAGGGTAATGACCCCTTCAGAACAGCTTCCATTTTACCAGAGGGGTACATGTACATGTCCCCACTGTTGGGACTGATGGTCTAGAACTGACCAGTCCCATCACGGAGGGGTCTCAGGAACTCAGTAATTACAAAGCACAAAGGGATGCTGCCATTCAAAGTCCAGCTGCAAAGCATTCAAATAGTTCTGAGGTTTCCACGATGTGTGTCTGAGGCTTTTCTTGTTGGCTCTACTTATTAAACAAGACTGTTCTTAATAAAGGAGCCGTGGTGGCGCAGTGATTGAGAACTATGACTGCTAATCAAAAAGGTCAGCGGTTCAAATCCACCAGCCACTCCTTGGAAACTCTATGGAGCCCGGGTGTGCAGTGGTTAAGTGTTTGGCTGATAATCAAAAGGTCAGCAGATTGAATCCACGAGCCACTCCCTGGAAACTCTATGGGGCAGTTCTACTCTGTCCTATAGGATCACTATGAGTTGGAATCAACTTGATGACAATAGATGGGTTTTTTTTTTTTTTTTTTTGAGTTCTTAATAAAAGGAAGAAGCAAGTAAACTACAGATAAGAACTGGGTTCTTAGAGACAATTGTTTTTTTTTTTTTTAGTTCTTAATAAAAGGAAGAAGCAAGTAAACTACAGATAAGAACTGGGTTCTTAGAAATGGAAATGATAGTGCTCACATCTTCTGTTCTGGGGTGAAAAGAGCTTAATTGGCTAGAAAGCAAAAGGCTGACACAACACATAGGTTCTTTCTGAAGACGGACTCATCAGTAACAGTGATGGAGATGGTAAATGATACTCTACGGCATCATTTCTCATACGTTAGGGCACATGGACCACCTGGGGTCTTGTTAAAATGCAGACTCTGATGCAGGGGGTCTGGGGAAGGCCTGAGAGTCTGCACTTCTAACAAGTTTCTGATGCTGCTGACCTGTGAACCACACTTTGAGTAGCAAAACTCTTACAAGTTTACAAAAACCTTTTCTCAGTGGTTCTCCAACTTGTCCAGGTGGAAGAGAATCTATAAGTCATGAGGCTCTTAATAGGACAGAGCAGAACTGCCCCATACTGTTTCCAAGGAGTGCCTGGTGTATTTGAACTGCCGACCTTTTGGTTAGCAGCCGTAGCTCTTAACCACTGTGCCACCAGGGTTTCCATGAGGCTCTTTGGGGAACTTATTTTATTCCAACATATAAACTGGACCTACTACAAAAAATAGTGTGTCACTCAAAATGCATCTGGTTATCAAGCTCAGGATGATTGGTTGCTTCTGAATTTTTCTGGAAATGTTTGCTACTTGCCTGGCAAACAGAAAGCTCAACAAGTGCCTGAGGTAATGAATGAATGAATGAATGAACAAAAGGAGGAAATGGATATAACCTGGCTCCCAGCTGGCACCTGTGTGCAGACCATCTTGTAAAGCTTTCTACTGGTTATTTATGGAGATGGGGGGACAGTACAAAACCATCATCAGACTTGGAGAGAGAGAAGAAGGATGGGGAGGAGGAGGAGGAGAAAAATAACACGTGCAGCAGCTAACTTCCGGGAGGCCACTGAGCAAGGCACAGTGCTAAGTCCTTTACATGAGTTGTCTACTTCATCTTTGCAAAACCTCTGTGATTTGGGAATTATGATGATTCCCATTTTACAGACCAGGAAAACTGAAGCACCCAGAGGGTACTAAGTAACCAAAGATAATCCAGTTGGCCCTTTTAGCTCAGTAATGAAGTCACTCCTAAAGTTCACCCTGTGGCCAAAGATTAGACAGGCCCATAAAACAAAACGAAACTAGAGGGGCACACCAGCACAGCGGCAAGAATGAGAAGGCAGGAGGGGAGCCCAAGGTCGAGAAGGGAGAGTGTTGACATGTAGTGGGGTTGGTAACCAATGTCACAAAACAATATGTGTACTGTTTAATGAGAAGCTAGTTTGTTCTGTAAACCTTCATCTAAAGTACAATAATAAAAATAAATAAATAAAAAATTGATAAAGACAAACCAGTGGGGAAGGAGGGAGGCAGGTTTAGGGCCCAGGCTGTCTCAGTTTCCACACTACACTGCCCTCTCCACAGCAGCTTCAACATCCAATCCTAGGGCAGCACAGCCAGCTTCACTGCCAGTCACAGCAAGCCCTGGCCCCATTTCGCCATCCGTTTGTGGCCACTAACTGGCTTGGCTACGCAGCCTCCCCAAACCAGATTTTATATTACCACTGCGGAAAACCCAAATCAATGTTTTTAGGGCCTGTGTTCTCACTGTACTGACACACCTGAGTACAGAGGCTCCACATGTTTGCCAGCTTTGTGTGGTGGTTTTTATGGCGGAGTGAAACCAATTCATTTAATGAATACTGAGAAGAGAATTTTGGGGGGTAACTTTTTAAAAGTATCAAGAACTTACAAAGAACTCTCGCATCTGTCTTTGCAGACTGACCCACTATTTGCATCTTACCCCGTTTGCTTTCTCATTCACGCTTGCTCTTTCTCCATCATTGTGGGGTCTATGGGCAAGGTATATACACACCCACTTCTTTTTTTTTTCCTGAATCAGTTGACAAGTTATACCCATCATGCTGCTTTATGCCTAAATACATCAGTGTATCATTCCTAAGAATGAGGCCATTCTTTTACATAATCAGAAGACAGTTATCAACTTCCATAAAGTAACACTGATATACTTTCATCTAATTTGTTGTCCATATCCAATGTTGTCGCTGGTCCAATAATGTACTTTATAGACGGACCCAGTATTTTTTAATGGCTGGATGCATATTAAGAATTAATATAAGTAATTCAGAATTAACAGGAGTAGAGTGCTTTGGCACTTAGCAAGTCTTTTTGTTACATTAACTCATTTGATTCTCACGTTGCCTTTCTGAGGTCAGGCAGGCGGCCCTATCCTTGTTTTATCCATAACGGAAACAAGGCTGAAGGGACATCAAATACAGAGCCAGAGCTCAGACCCCTCCCCCACATCACTGCTTCGTTCCTATTTTTAAGACTTGATGCGTTTTAGCATCAACCAGCAGACTGAGCGCTAATCCGAGCATGTTAAATTCTAAAAATAAAATAATGTAGTTTGGGTACTTATCTCTCTAACCATTTTCTTTTATGTTAATGGTATGGATTCTAATTAATACCCATAGCTACATACTCAGGAAAAGTCCTAAGCTACCTATTATGGATTGAATTGTGTCCCCCAAAAACACGTGTTAGAATCCTAACCACTACACCTAATGTGGAAACCCTGATAGCAAAGTAGTTAAGAGCACGGCTGCTAACTAAAAGGTCAGCAGTTCGAATCCACCAGCTGCTCCTTGGAAACTCTATGGGGCAGTTCTACTCTGTTCTATAGGGTCACTATGAGTCAGACATGACTCAAGGACTCACCAGGGGTTTTGGTTTATACCTAATGTATGTAATCCCATTTGGGAATAGGGTTTTCTTTGTTATGTTCATGAGGCCATATCAGCGTAGGGTGTATCTTAGGCAAAGAAGCAACCAACACAAATACGGAAAAGATAGATTCCAGGTGGAGAGAGCCAAGAACCCGAGGAACACCAGGGCTAGAGAAGCTGAGACAAGGATCTTCCCCAGAGCCAACAGAGAAAGCCTTTGCCTAGAGCTGGTGTCCTCAATTCAGATTCTAGCCTCCTAAACTGTGAGAAAATTAATTTCTGTCTGTTAAAGCCACTCACTTGTGGTATTTCTGTCACAGCAGCACTAAGAAACTAAGACACTACTCCAGGGGAGCCACTTGGTATGAGTTAGGAAGCCTACGGGGGTGGGGACGGAGAGGGTGCAGCCAGGGCAGGGCACGTGGGGTCTGGCCTCAGCACCTGCCCAGCCTGCTTCACCAAGGAGCGCACCCTACTTCACCCACAGAATCCACAAGAAAGGATTCCCAGTTGCGAGCTTGACTTGAACACAGAAAGCCTAGACATGTGACATACCTCTTCCAGAGCACAGTAAAAAATTAGTTTGGGCATCGAGAGGGAGTTTCCCAATCCTCAGAAATAGCCTAAAAGAGGACTCAAAATCATGAACTTGCTTGTTCAACAGAAAAGCATTGGTTTGGGAAACAGAACTATGTGTGTTCAAATCCTGACTCTGCCACTGAGTTCATTTTCCTTGGGCAGGTTCTAACCTCGCTGGGCCTCTGTCCCTTCATCCATAAACAAGATGATAACACACACCAAGTAGAGCTGGGTGAGAAGCAGGGGTCCACGTGTGAAGTGGCTAGCTAACACACGGAAATTGTCTAGCTCCTGGTGTTACAGCCCCACAGCAGGGCAAGGCTCTGCCTTCCCCACAACCCTGAAGGAGCCAAGGAAGGTTGAGTCTATGTTAGTGGAACATGAACAATGTGGTAAGTCTGGATTACAATTTTGCAAGATTCACTGTTAAACCCAGCCATCAAGTTGACTCATGGGTACCCCATCCACGTGTGTGAGCGTACAGCTATGCTTCATAGGGTTTTCAATGGTTGATTTTTTGGAAGTAGCTCACCAGGTCTTTCTTCCAAGGTACTTTTGGGTGAACTTGAACCTCTAATCTTTTGGTTAGCAGGTGAGCATGTTAACTGTTTGCACCACCCAGGGACTCCCACTGGCTGTTAGGAATACAAAATAACAGACCAACTTTTGTGTGGCACTGAAAAGCCTTCAATCTCTTCAGGGACTTCGGCTCCAAGTTTGTAAATGTGGGGTAGGAAGAGCAAAACATTTACCTTTTCCAAGGCCTCTCTGTCAAGTAGTTCTTGCACAGCTAGAAGCTTGATGCTGTAAGATAAAACGAAAACCACGCCTGAAAACAAATCCTTTCATGTCACCGAGTGTCACAGAAGTCACAAGAACAAAGGTTTGAAATTTCATCCTGCATCACTACTTCACCTCCCATCTTAAGGTGACCTTGTATTTGAATCGAAATTACCATTTCAGAACTATTAAAAAGCTTTCTAAACTCTAAATTGATTAACAGCTGCTTTATGTAAGGAATTCACACAAATTCCGAGGAATTTAAAGAAGAAACCAGTAAGCCAAGTTCAGTATTAATCTTCACTTGATGTCCCACTGAAGACAACGAGCAAATAGCTAAAATCATTGCTTACCAGAGGGCCTGCCCAGGCTCTGCTTGGGTGTTTACCAAACATTTATCAAGCCCTACTGTGTGCAGTGGAGCCCTGGCGGCACAGTCGTTAAGTGTTCAGCTGCTAACCAAAAGGCTGGCAGTTTGAATCCACCAGCCGCTTCTTAGAAACTCTATGGGGCAGTTTGACTCTGTTCTATACGGTCCCTGTGAGTTCGAATTGACTCAACAGCAACGGGTTTAGTTTTTTTTTTTTTTTTTTGGTTTACGGTGTGCAGGTGGCTGAGGACACCAGATGACTATGACAATTCCTGCTCTCGGAGCTCACAGCCTCTCAGAGGACACGGTCAGACCAGACCGCAGTGTGCAAAGTGGATGTGCTGAGCTGCAGAGAGAAGCCCAGCCCAGAGAAGGTCAGAAGAGACTTCCTGGAGGAGGGATCAGTTTTGCCATGCGGGGAGGGAGCTGAGTTGAAAGCGACCCAGAGAGTGACAGCGGGGGAGAGAGAGGGCACAAGCTGTGCAGACCCCTGGTTTCCAGCTTAGGGGCCTGAGCCCAGACTGTAGTCAGCAACCAAGAGGACAGAATTCAGAAGTGGTGCAGGGTTCATACCTGGCTGCCATCGAGTTGATTCTGACTCATAGCGACCCCATGTGTTACAGAGTAGAACTGCTCTGTAGGGCTTTCTTGGCTGTAGTCTTTACAGAAGCAGATTGCTAGGCCTTTCTTTCATGGAGCCACTGGGTAGGTTCAAATCGCCAACCTTTAGGCAAGTAGTCAAGTGCAAACTGTCCGTGCCACCCAGGGACCTGTAGGTTTTATAGGGAGGTAGTTTTCATCTTCTGACCTGTTGTGTTTGAGGTACCCATTGACACAGTGAGGCTGTGAGGGGGCCCTGGGCTGGGCTCACCAGCATACTGGTTGACACATAAGAGTCAAGGAAACTCCTTAGGGAGTGAGTGTGCTGTTGCTGGTGTCACGATGTTCTTTTCTAACCCACTCCCCACTTCCACCTAACCTGGTAGGGTCACTGTTCACTGTGCCCTGCTCCCGCTGAGCTGGCCAGGCTCCCCAGGGCAGACATGAGCCCCTCCTGTCCCATGTGCCTCCTGCAGAAGGGGTAAGGCCCATGATCAGGTTTATCGACATTTTCGGAATTCTTTACCATCTCTCTGTACAAGTAAGTAGGCACTGTCCAACCAAATGCGATGGTTTATTTAAAAGCCGCTCTGGGAAGTACAATAAAAGTTGTAAAGGCTTACAAGAAACAAGCATCAGTGACAACAATGTAGTCAAGATCAGAGCTAACGGACAGGACGCTGGGTGTTCACTCTGCCCTAACCAAACTGGCTTTCATTTTGTCATACTGTGGTGGCTTGCGTGTTGCTGTGATGCTGGGAGCTAGGCCACTGGTATTTCAAATACCAGTAGGGTCACCCACGGTGAACAGGTTTCAGTGGAGCTTTCAGACTAAGATTAGGAAGAAAGGCCTGGTGATCTACTTCTGAGAATTAGCCAATGAAAACATTATGGATTACCAGAAGAACTTAATGGCGTCTGACTACCACCACTGACCATTCTGACCAGGGACATAATAGAAGGTCCCGGTTAGAATGGGAGAAAAATGTAACTTTGGTGAGTGGCATCTGGGGTCTTAAAAGCTTGCAAGTGGCCATCTAAGACGCATCAGTTGGTCCCAACCATCTGGAGTAAAGGAGAATGAAGAACACCAAGGAAAGCATTAGCCCAGAGACAGAAAGGGCCACATAAACCAGAGACTTCTGAGACCAGAAGAACTAGATGGTGCCCGGCTACCACCAACGACCGTCCTGACAGGGAACACAACAGAGAGTCCCTGATGGAGCCAGAGAAAGGTGGAATGCAGAACTCAAATTCTAGTAAGAAGACCAGACTTAATGGTCTGACTGAGACTGGAGGAACCCCGGAAAGCATGGCCCCGGATTCTGTATCAGCCCAGAAATAAAACAACTTCCAAGACCAACTCTTCAGATAGGGATTGGACTGGACTGTAGGACATAAAGTGATACTCGTGAGGAGTGTGCCTCTTAGCTCAAGTAGATGCAAGAGACTAAACAGACAGCTTCTGCCCGGAGGTGAGATGGGAAGGCAGAAAGGGTTAGGAGCTGGTTGAATGGACACAGGGAATCAGGGGTGGAAAGGAGGAGTGTGCTGTCACAGTATGGGGAGAGCAATTAGGGTCACATAACAATGTATGTATAAATTTTTGTATGGGAGACTAACTTGAAATGTAAACTTCATCTAAACTACAATTAAAAAAAATATTTGTTAAGGGAGACAAGATTTAAATGGTAGGTTTTGTTGTTATTATTATAGCACTCTCCATATTATGTTCTATTTAACTGGGTTTGAAGTTTGGCCTACTCCTCAATGAGCTCCTTGAAGAGAGGGATGCTGCCTTAATTATCTGAAAATCCCATGGGCAGATAGTTACCTAATGAGTGTCCATTGGGTAGAATTCCTCAAATAATAATGGAAGCAAGAGAATCACAGCCAATGGGAAGAAGGGGGCATACTTTTACCTACATGTAAAGCATAAACATATTTTTTTATAAATAAAATTAGACAATTAGAAAAATGAGGTGAGCAAGGTGCATTCAAAAGGATAAATACCAATAAATTCTCCAGTATTTTAAATCACAAAAGGCTCAAAAGTTGGCAGGTATGAGCAAAAGTTACAGAAGAATACATTAGACCATGTGTCATGGATTGAATTGTGTCCCCCAAAAATATCTGTCAACTTGGCTGGGTCATGATTCCCAGTATTGTATGATTGTGTACCATTTTGTAATCTGATGATTTCCTCATGTGTTATAAACTTTATTACTATGATGTAATAAGATGGATTAGCGGCAGTTATACTGATGAGCTATACAAGATTGGATAGTGTCTTAAGCCAATCTCTTTTGAGATATAAAAGAGAGAAGCAAGCAGAGACACTTGGGAACCTCATAACACCAAGAAAGCAGTGCTGGGAGCAGAGCACGTCCTTTGGACCTGAGGTTCCTGCGTAGAGAAGCTCCCAGACCAAGGGAAGATTGATGACACGGACCTTGCTCCAGAGCCCACGGAGAAAGCGTTCCCCTAGAGCTGATGCCCTGAGTTTGGACTTGTAGCCTACTGGACTGTGAGGGAATAAATTTCTCTTTGTTAAAGCCAAAAAAAAAAAAAAAAAAAGGAAGAAAAATGTAGAACAAAACTCATATTCATAAAAACAACCAGACTTACTGGACTGATAATAGCCTGGAGGAAACCCGAGACTATCGCCCTAAGATACCCTTTTAACCTGGAACTGAAGCCACTCCCAGAGGTCACCTTTCAGCCAAATATTAGATTGGCCTAAAAAATAAACAATAACACCTTTGAGGAATGTGCTCCTTTAAACAATCAACTATATGAGACCGAATGGTCAACATTTACCCAAAAGCAAAGATGAGAAGGCAAGGAGGGGCAGGGAAACTGGATGGATGAAGCGGGGCAGGTGAGGTGGAAATGGTGAGAGCGCTGATACATTGCAGGGACTATAACTGATGTCAGGGAACAATCTGTGTATGAATTGTTGAATGGGAATCTGATTTATTGTGTAAACTTTCACCTAAAACACAACAAAATATTAGGAAAACAAGAACAACAACAACCTTGCATATCACAACAGAACACTGTCTAATTTGCTTGCTTTGTACCTATCATGAGGAGGGGGTCAATTACTGGAGGACGACATCATGTGTGGTGAAGTAGAGGGCCAGTGACACCGAGGGAGACCCTTAGTGAGACGAACTGGCATAAGAGCTGCAACGATGGACTCAAACATACCGGTAATTCTGAGGATGAGGCAGAACTGGGCAATGTTTCATTCTGTTGTACATCAAGTTACCATGAGTCAGAGACAACTCAATGGCAGCTAACCACCACCACCACCAACCTGGATGGATAAAATCATAGGTCATGCCTCAGATTCTCCATCTGGAAAAGAATGCTTCAAACAAGACTGCTGAATGTATTCTCCTTTAGTGAAAGATGCTACGTGCATTTATAAAAAATTACTGCCATTAATGAAATGAGCCTGGTGGCTGGTCAAAGATATTGGCCATGCTTGCCCACATTCTGATTCCCAACGTACAACTCTAGATTCCAGGTTATTAATATAGACAGCAATTCCTATGCTAAGGTAGGAGATTCCAGTTGTGGCTCAAGTTTCAGAAGCTTAAATTGCCTCTAAAATAACCGCTGGAAAATATTTACACTGGAGGGACTTCTAGCTCCTCTCTGTGGTCATGGAGTCCAACTTAGTATCAGATATCAAAAGGTAGAGGAAAGGTTTAAACACTGTTAAGAGGGTCACCTCTCTTTTTCTCTCTGTTCACAAGGATGCTACATTCAAGCTGCTGTAGAACATGACTTGAAAACTGATGGTTTCACACTCTGAATGAAAATGAAAATTAAAACAACTTCAGTTGACTCTTACTTAGGTCAAAGCCTTAAGAAAGCTATTCCCTGCTCTCTTCACTTTACTTTCCTCTAGATCGGGTATTGTAAATTTTTGGCATGCCGATGGCTACTCTCCAACCCCCTCCACTTCTTTCCATGGAACTTTTCCCCACTGAACTCAGATACAGCCACAGAATCCTTCTTAACACTCCAGTAAACCACAAAC